CCTGTGCTGTCCCTCCACCCTTCTGAGCACAATGTCCTTCTCCAAGGACTGATCTCTCATGGCCACATGCCCAAAGTAGGTGAGATGGAGCTTCAAAATCCTAGCTTCCAAGGAGAAACTTGGTTTCACCCCCTCCAAGATAGATCTATTTGATTTCTTGGCAGTCCAGGGTATACAGTCAGTAAAAAAAATTAAGTTATTTCCTTTTCTCAACAACACCCCTCACTGTCTTTGACTCCGAAGTGACTTACAGCCGGCCCTCCGCAGGCTATGTGAGACAGGAAATCACACAGCCTATCTTTCTCCCTTAGGGAAGCTAGGGGATTCTATCTGCCTATCTTGAGGTTGGCAGTACAACTCTGTACTAATTAGGTCTCTACAGCTTCTCTTAGGAAAAATGAAATCCACTCAATGGTCTGGAATGACGAGATCACTCAGGTTTTACCAGTACTATGAGGAAGTCAGGAAATACAGGTACTGCACAGGACAACAATGTTTTCATGGAGAACCTGCAGTGCTCACCACTGGGACAGGTAGAGAGCAGAGATGGCCCATGTGCGCTGTCTCAAGGAGTGGTCGTGGGGGAAAGCCTGAAGAAAGGTGGAGAGGTGACATGGCAATGGCAGCTGCCTTGTGGCTACAGGACAGCCCCCCTCCCCCCCACTCCACAGTAGCCGACTGTGGGCACCCAGGTGCCACCAGGAGGACCCCAGGGAAAAGGCGCCAACTTTCACCTGATCCTCGTGGCACACCTCCCATTTGAGGGGAAGTTTGGCTCAGCATTCTCTCACCTATCAGAAACAGCTGCTTGAATTTAGAGTATGCAGTCTGGATTTCCTGCAGAGACAGGAAGCCGCCTGACAGGTCTTCAGTTTTAACAATTTCATAGGGTGGCCTGTGGATGGTCTTGTAAATTCTGGACATCAAAAGAGAACAACAGATTAGCAAACAAGCATGAAGTAAACACAGTTCAACTCTCCGAGCTCTCACTGTGTGACATGATTGGTGCAGAGGGTTCTGCTGGTCTCTTCCCACTTTTTTGTCTTGTGGTGGTGAGACCAGAACTGCTAGACAACAAACGAGGCTGGAGGGTCACAGTGTGGAACCAGCTGCCCAAGATAATGAAGCTTATACATGGATAGAGTCACAATTTGAACCAAGGCACTAAAACACCAAAGTCTACTTCTGGACTCACTTTTAATTAATTTACCTTTTTTTAAGACAGGGAAGGAGGGGATGAATGATGTATACTGCATTGAAACAAATGAAGGAGAGAACTGTTTAAAAGGGATATATGATTGGGTATTATTGTCATGACAGGAGCCAGAAAAGGCTGCACAGTGCAGTGGACTTGGGGGGAGGGACTGCATAACAATGAAAGAGTTCTTCCTTTTACTTTTCAAGAAGAAGAATGAATTGGGGGGGAGGGGTGGGCAGGGAGAAAAGTGCAACAATTAATGAATGGAAACCCTAAGTCTCTGTAAACTTTCATTAAAATTAATTTTTAAAAAAAAGAAAGAAAAAAATTGAAATATATTCAGTAAAGCAGAACAGTACAATGACAAGCACCACGCTGTAGATTTCAAAACCGTTACTACTACTGACATCATGTCCTTTCACCCCTAAACACTTCACCGTGCATCTCTTACAAGAACAGAGTGGACAGGCACTCTTAATGATTAGACTATGGTGGTTTTCTTAAAAGTAATTAGAAACGAGTCCTGTGACTTCTGTTTTCCTAGCAGTACTATCAGTCAGGGAACAGAAATGCAGAGACTATAAAGAATGGTTGTCTACTTCTTGAACAATCAGTAAAATGGAACCAAACAAAAGCAAAGCAGACAACGAGTACCGACCCATCCAAGAAACTCTTCTGGATTTGTAAGATGCCATCATCCTGTTCTTTGGGCAGTGCTGACATTTTCAAAAGGGCACATCCATTGTGGTGGGACCAACACCATATCTGCAGAGAGGGATGAAGAGAGCTTTACCAGACATAATATACACAACCCACTAGGGGACAGGAAGTACTGCAGTAAAATTCATTCAGGGAAATTCATAACTTCAGTAAGAAATGACTGAAGGTGCTTGATTTGATTGAGCCAGGGACTACTTGCTTATGATGGAAAAGTCTGATTTAGTCTGAAAAGCAAAAACATTAAGTAGACAGTAAGTATAATTTCTGGTCACACAGAGACTTGGGAATTTAGCAAAAGGTGTATGCTTTCTTCACCTACTACAACATGGATAATTTTTCTCAGGTAAAGGGCCATGGAGTCCTCCTCCTACCTATCATTATGACTTGATGGTTTATTATATACTAGATCCTAGAATAAATTGTATACCCTTGGGCTAACCAGAGTGTCAGTGGTTTGAACCCACTAGCCAGTCCTGCTGCTCTCATGGCTTAGTGGTAAAGGACTGTGCTGACAATGCAAGGTACACAGTTCGAATCCACCACCAGTTGCTCTGTGGGAAAAAGATGGGAAATTGATTCCCGTGTTATTTCCTGCCTCTGAAAAGCTGCAAGGTCAGCTATGCGTCAGTTCAGACTCTATGGTACACAACAAGCCGTCTGCTTCTGTAAAGGTAAGTTGTTGTTGTTACGTGCCAGCGAGTAGACTCTGCAGATGGACAGGGACCCTATTAACAATAGGACTACCCAATCCTGGACCATCTTCACTGTTTTTGAAGCCCATTGTTGTGGCCACCGTGCCATCCCTCTTTAAAGGTGTGTCTTCTCCTCCTTTGCTCACCCTCTCCTTCTCTCAAACACGATGCCTCTGTCCAAGCACTGCCCCCTCCTGATAACTACCCAAAGCATGTGTGATAGTTGACGATCTTTGTCTATAAAGAGCAAGGCTGTACTACTTCCATGACAAGTTCATTTCTTTTTTCTGTCAGGCCACGGTACAGTCAATACTCTTTGCCAATACCACAATTCAAAGGCATCAATTCTACTCTCGTCTTTCTTACTGTTCAACTCTCAGATACACAGGAAGCAAATGAAAATACCATAGCTGGGGTCAGGTGTGCCCTAAGTCAGATCGTTAACATTTTAAAGAAGTCTTTGACAGCAATTTTGTCCAGCTTAATACGTAAATATTCACAACACTGGAAATTTTATGAGAAGTTCTACTTTGTCTCACTCACAGGGTCATTATGAGTGGGAATCAGCCTGACAGCAAAGGGTCACACTCTGAAAAACCTGTAAGGGCCAAAACCAGATTGTATTTATGTGGCTTATATTGACACCAGTATTTACCATGTTAGACATCAAAACTTGAAACTTTAAAAATATTCATTCAAAAATCCTAGTAAGTCAGGTCTATGTTAACAAAATGAATATATTTTCCAAGAAATGTTTATGAGAAAAGTGGCATTGTTTTATATTTTTGTAAATCTTGTAATATCTGATTTCATTAACAATAGGTTGGGTTTTTTAATCTATTTTAAGAAAAAAAATAAAGGTATAAAGAATAAAATGTAAATTCTAACAGGTTCAACATGAATGAGATAGAAAGCAGCACCAGGGAAGGATCCAGCTGAAGACAAGTTCATTAATATCTATGGAACTTGGCGGTCAAACTCAACCCTCACAGCTATTGCATGAATTCTGACTCACAGGGACCATCCACTGGGTTTCTAAGGCTGTAAATCTTAACTGAAGGAGACTTTTCCTATCTTTGTCCTGAGGAGCTGTCAGTGGATTTGAAAAGTTGGAAATACACAGCCTTAAGCTAGCAGCACAACATGGTACTTAAATGTCTAACGTTGTTGTGTTAGGGGTGGTTGAGTCGTGTATGACTCCCAGTGACTCTATGAACAACAGATCTGAACCCTGTCCTATCCTGTGCTAACCTCACGTTTGACACACTTGAATCCACTGCCTTAGTCACTGTGTCAATCCATCTCATTGACTGACGGTCTGCCCTTCTTTTACCTACCTTCCACCTTTCCAAGCATGATATACTTTTCCAAGGAACAATATGCTCAAAGTATGTGAGATGAAGCTTCACCATCTTTGCCTCCAAGGAGCACCCTGGCTGCATGTTATCCAAGACATATCTATTTGTTCTTTTGGCAGTCCATGGGGTATACAGCAATCTCCTGCAACACTACAACTCAAAAGCACCTTTTTTTTTTTCTTTTTGGTCATCCTTATTCACTGTCCAGGTCTCGGAAGCTCAACAAGCAACTGAAAAGACCATGGTCTGAATCAGGTACACCTTAGTCCTCAAAATGACATCACTGCTCCTTGGTAACTGGAAGAGATCTCTGACTGCAGACTTTCCCAGGGCAGTATGTCTCCTGATCTCTTAACTGCTGGTACCAAGTATACTGATTGTGGATCCAAGTAAGGAAGTTGTTGACAGTGTCCATCTTTTCTCCATCTATCACGATGTCACCTATTGGTCCAAAATGTCTAAATGACTATTGCCTATCTGCCTAATGAGACAGGCTGAACAAGAGACATCTAATCTATATCACCAGAAACTCAGAACTCTCAGCCTGAGGTGAGTCTGGCTCCCCCTAGGTCTCAGGGGGCAACTGTCCAGGTCTGGGAAAGTTTTAAATTTTTTCAACTGGAAAAGAACTACTAGCCAGTATCATTATGAAATACTCTACAGTACAGGGGACAGCCTCTCACAGGAAAGCTTGATCTGGACCAAATGTCAACAGTGCCAACTTTGAGAAAGTGTCTCAGAGAAAACAAAACCAGAAGCCAGAGCTCACAGCAGCACAAGGCAGAGAGGCTGATCATTTTAAAGCAGTATTTTCAATCAATGACTAGGTTTCCCAGGTTCAGCTGTGGCCTCTGAGTCTGAGCCAACTCCTAGCTGACCCTCTAGTGGGGTTTCCAAACCTGTAAATCACATGAGAGGAGAATGTCCATTATTCTTCCAGGGAGTGGTTGGTAGATTCGAACCACCAGAGGTGTGCCACCCTTGATTGAATCAGCAGCACAGCTCTGCTGACCACACCACCAGAACTAGGTATATCATTTCACCAACTTCATTCGTTAAATTTGCTTAAGATAACTTTTGGTGAACCTGGTTTCTCAGATGAACAAAAATCTTAAACACATTTTTAAAAAGACTGAATGACAATTCTGCTCTCTAGGAAATGGTGTAATCCTAGCTTATGTAACGAACTTCTGCTTTTCACTCACACAAACAGCACTGAAGACCTTCAGAACATGTAATGAAGGCAGATTCCATGAAGTGAAAACACTTTTCTACGGCTTTTTAATCACAGTTATGCTGTTTGCCCTTGTTCTGGTCTTATCTGAACGTGTTCCACTGATTGGCTGCAAGGCCAGGCTAGCATATGGTGGTGTAGCTATGCTACACACACTGTAGGGATGGGAAGGCGGCTTTTCCACAGAGCAGAGCATAATCTCCTTCCCCGGACTCATCTACAAAGGGCTAAAGTATGGAGACCTTTGCTTTCACTCCTCTACAACAGTGATTCTCCTAGTGAGGGGCTCCCAAGACCCTTTCCTGTGGTCTGTGAGGTAAAATGATTTCATGATAACATCAAGAATCTACACTATGTATATGATGCCACTAAGCTCACCAAAACTGAGGATTTAATGCACTTGGCTGTCAAAGATTAAGAACTACAGTCTTTGATACGGATTACAACTCAATATTAAGAAAACAAAAGGCCTTACCACTGAGTCGATAAAAAACCCATTATGATAGATGGAGAAGAGACTGAAGTGGTCAATGATTTCATCTTGCTTGGATCCACAATCAATACCCTTATCAAGAAATCGAAAAACGAGTCCCATGGGGAATATCTGTTATTAGGAACTTCTCCAGAGTAGAAAAGAACAATAACATCCGTTTAAAGACTAAGGTGTGCCTGATACAAGCCAGGGTCTTTTTTTGATTACTTGCTATGCATTTGAAAGCTAGACAATGACTAAGGATGAAAGAAGAATAACTGATGCTTCTGAGTTGTGATGCTGGAGAAGAGTACTGACTATCCCATGAACTATAGGCTTAACATCAAAAAAACAAAGATTGTTATCATTGGGCCAACTGGTTGTGTCATGACTGTCAAAGAGACTGTTAAAAGCTTCAGCATGCTTGGTTTCACAATCAACACTCTTGGTAGCAGTAGCCAGGAACTCTTAAGATGAATTGCATTGGGAAAGTCTGCTATCAATGACCTCTCCCAAATACTGAGAAGTAACAATGTCAGTCTAAAGACTAAGGTGCACCTGATCCAGGCGTGGTTTTTGCAGTTACTTGCTATTCATCAGAGAGCTGGGCAAATGCCTAAGGATAATAGAAGAATCATCAATGCCTTTGAATTGTGGTGCTGGAAAAGAGTATTGAGTATACTATGGACTGCCAAAAGAACAAACAAATCTGTCTTAGTGAAGGTGAAACTAGTATGCTCCTTGGAAGCAAGTTTCCTGTAGCTCTGTATCTTATACTTTGGGCACATGGCCAGGAGAGACTCCTTGGAGAAGGACATCATGCTTGAAAAGGCAGAGGGTCAGCGCAGGAGAGGAAGACCCCAGATGAGATGGATTAATACTGTAACTGCAGTAATGTCTCAGAAACAGTGAGACTGGCTCAGGATACAGCAGAATTCAGAGCTATTGTATAAAGGGTTGCTTTGACTTGCAAGTGACTCAGTGGCACATAACAACAGCAACAACGATGAGAACAAACAAGTCTATCCTTGAGCAAGTGAAACCAAGGAGCTCTTTGGTGGCTAGGATGATGAAACTCCATCTCAGATACTTTGGACATGTTTTAAGGAATCAATCCCTAAAGGAGGACAGCATGCTTGGAAAGGCAGAGGGTCTGCATGAGAGAGAAAGACCCTTAACAAGATGGACTGACACAGAGTAGCAACGGGTTCAAGCGTGTGGGAGATGGTGAGGTGCTGCAGTACAGGGCAGAGCTCAGATTTGTTGTTCATAAGGCTGCGGTTAGCAGCAGTCGACTGGACAACACATAACATCACGATAAATTGGCCACTTGTATTCTGCTGACATTTGAAGTGGCACAGTAGGAAGTGGGTGAAACTACTAGCAACAAGGCACAAAACCAAACGCCCTTCCTGTGCTGATACTCATCATATTCACTAGCAGTTGGGGGGGAAAGTGTGCTTCACTTGAGAACATTCTGCATAAAGGTGAGACCATCACTCATTTCTTGAATCTTGACTTTTCCACGGCTTTTTAACATTTTGTGTGATGAACTGGGAAACAATGTTAAAGCTCAGTGTTTGTCTCAAGGAAAAGCACTTACATAACTGATGAGAGTTCAGAACGGAACCAGCTGGGCTTTCCCCTTGGAATTTAAAGAATGACTGACAGGCAAACGAGTATGTAGCCCTTGATATTTGGCAGCTATTTTATTTGAAATATGTTCTTAGCCTGTCACTTAAGACAACTACCAGACTATTGCCAATAATAAAAACGGAATTTTTAAGTAAATACTAGAATTTTGAAAGATTCCTATCCACCACTTCAGCTGAACAGCATCCCAACATTTAAAGATGAACTGTGTGCAGCCAATCCAGAGGTAGGTGGTTCAAACCTACCAGCTGTTCAGCACAAGATGGGCAGTCACCTCCTGAGTGATTTACAGTCTCTGAAAACACATGAGAGGGCCAGCCATAAGTCAGTTCCCAATTGATAGGGCATAAAAAACTCATCATTATTGATGAAGTAGGAGTAATATTAATAAATGGGATTTGAGAAGTTTTTATGTAATGCAAAGAGTCAGTAACTGGAAGATCTATATAACCAAGTGAACCAGTGTTTTCCAAATGAAATGAGCAAATCATGAACATGTTAAGATCACTTCAAAACAAGACAGTTTGATGGGTTTTAACATGACAGAGAATGAAAAGTTTGCCAACACGTTTCTTATTTCCTAACAAGTCTTTATGAGTCTGACATTTATTAGTTTTTCTTTTCATTCAAAGGGTAAAACTACCCACAATTACCTGCAAACTCAAAACTCTCCTTGCTGTCCAGTCGAAGCTGACCTGTTGTTGACCCTCTAGTGGACTTTCAGCAGATATAAATCATGCAAGAAGAAACTGTCCGTAATTTTCCTGACAAGTCACTAGCAGACTGAAATTGGCAAACAAGAGGACACTTTGGGTAGCGGTGCCACACCACCGGAGCTCCCGTCAGCACTGGCCTGCCACTAACTGAGGTTTCAAGAAGCAAAAGGCCTATATGGAGCATGACCAATAGGGCAGCATTTGTCCAGAGACAAAGCTCGGAAGGATGGCAGGAAGAGAAAAATGGAAATCCGAATCACAGAGAGGAAGTGGGGAGAGTGCTGTTACAAATGTGAGGACTGCACTTAGTACCACAGAACAAAGTATGTATGAAAGGGTTAATGGAAGCTCTGCAAACTTCCACTCAAATGACAAAAGTTTAAACAATATTTAAATTTGCGTGTGTGTGTGTGTACCGTCAAACCCTGCTTGCTGAAACGGAGGAGGACCTGAAGCACTTGCTGCAGAGGGTCAAGGAATGCAACCTCCAATATGGATTAAGGCTCAATGTCAAGAAGACAAAGACTCTCACCACTGGACCAATTGGCAGCATCAGGATGGATGGCGAAGAGACTGAGACTGTTCACAGCTTTAATCCGCTTGGCTCCACAATCAACACCCTTGGCACCAGCAGCCAGGAAATTAGAAGATGTATTGCCCTGGGAAAGTCTGCTGTTAGGGACCTCTCCAAAGTACTGAAGAGCAATGGTGTCTCTCTGGAGGCTAAGGTGCATCTTATACAGGCCATGCACTTGTTATACATCAGAGAGCTGGACAGTGACTAAGGAGGATAGAAAGAGAATTGAGGCCTTTGAGCTGTGGTGCTGGAGAAGAGTATTGAGGGTACCATGGACTACCAAGAAAACAGATTCATCCTGGAAAGGGTTAAACTGGGCAACTCCTTAGAAGCAAGGATTCTGAGGCTTCCTCTAACATACTTTGAACATGTTGTAAGGAGGGAGAGTTCCTTGGAGAGGGACATCATGCTTGGGAGGGTGGAGGGACAGCACAGGAGGGGAAGGCCCTCTATGAGGTGGACTGATTCAGT